TATTGTAGAGATGAGGTCTCGCCAAGTTGCCCGGTAGGTTTCAAACCTGTAGGCTCAGGCAATCCACTCACCTCGGCCTCCCAAAGTGCTGGGATTACAGGCTGAGCCACCGAGTGCGGCCCCAAAATATTTTCAAATATTATCTTAATTCTTTTCATTTTTTGAGTCGGAGTCTCACTCTGTTGCCCAAGGCTGGAGTTCAGTGAGGTGCTCATGGCCACCACCGCCTTGACCTGCTGGGCTCAGGTGTTCCTTTTGCCTCAGCCTTCTAAGTGGCTGAACATAGGCACACACCACCACGCCCAGCTAATTTTCTTATTTATTGTGGAGATGAAGTCTCGCCATGTTGCTCAGGCTGATTTCGAACGCATGGACTCAAGTAATCCTCTTGCCTCCGCCTCCCAAAGTGTTGGAATTACAGGCGTGAGCCACCCCGCCTGGCTATCTTAATTCTTCATCTTAATTCTTCATTAATTCTGTGAAACAGGTAAAGAAAATCCTCTAGACTGAGGTTCAGGCAAGCTGAGTGACTTGTCCAAAGTCTCTGCCATTTGGCGGTGCGGGTCCAAGGCCTCTAAGTTCTAGTCTCGCCATCTTCCACCAGCGTGGAGAGTGTGTGCAGAGTGCTGTGGTCAGCAAGAGGAGGCCAAGGCTGCCAGGGGGAAGTTAGCGCTGCCTGGAACCTTAGTGAAAGCACAGGGAGGAGTGAACTGGCCGCATACAGGAGGAATATGAGGCGGACCCAGAAAAACTCGGAACTTACTTACAAAAAATTGTAGGCAACAGACAGCAGACACTCTTGCTGCGGTCCTGCCTGTTGTGCCCTTCACAATGTTATCTTCTCTTTTAAAAAATCTACCTTTCTTAATTCAAATATTTTAAAAAATTGTGTATTTATTTTTACTTGATTAAACTTCAGTCACCAGCCAGGTGCGGTGTCTCAAGCCTGTTATCCCAGCACTTTGGAAGCCTGAGGTGAGAGGATTGCCTGAGTCCGTAGGTTTGAGACCAGCCTGGCCAACATGGTGAGAACACGTCTCTACAATAAGTCAAAATATTAGCCTGATGTGGTAGCATGCAACTGTAGTTCCTGCTACTTGGAAGGCTGAGGTGGAAGGATCACCAGAGCTAGCAGGTTAACACTGGGGTGGTCATGAGCGTGCCACTGCACTCCAGCCTGGGCGATAGATTGAGACTCTGACTCAAAAAATAAAAAAATAAAAATCAATACATGTCTGCTCCCTGGCTGACTTTCTGAATGGCTGGATGGATGGAGGAATGGATGAATGAACTAGAAAAGACAGAAAGAATTCTGGTTTTTGGGGGGGTCCCCCCTTGTATTTGGGAGGCAGAGACCAGGGGAGGGTGAAGAAGCATCAAGTTGAAGGAACAGCATGTGTGAAATCATGTAAGTACATGGCACGTGTGGGGACCAGGAGCAGTGTCAGCAGCAGGAAGGAGGTGGTGGGTGACCCCAAGGTTTGGAGATTGAACTGTGGATGGCAATGAATACTATGCTCAAAATTTTTGTTTGTTTTGAGTCGAGGTCTTACTCTGTCACCCAGGCTGGAATGCAGTGGCCCGATCACGGCTACTTCAGCCTCGACCTCCTGGGCTCAGGCGGTCTTTCCACCTCAGCCCCCAGAGTAGCTGGGACTACAGGCGTGCACCACTGTACTCGGCCAGGTTTTTTATTTGTCGTACAGATGAGGTCTCACTATGTTGCCCAGGCTGGTCTCACACTCCCAGGCTCAAACAATCTCCCACCCCGGGCTCCCAAAGTGCTAGGATTACAGGCATGAGCCACCATGCCCAGGCTCTAGTTTTCTAGAGTGGAGGTAGCAATGTGTCTAGCTCTGGGGAGAAACCACAGTTGTCCTCAGCTTGTTGTGGCCATCCCAGCCTTCTTTGGTAGACCCTTGGATAATCTCTTCCCCAGCTGCTCCACTCCAGTTGGTGAGATGCAAGGGAGAGTCTGCTGTGTTCCCGTGAGAAGGGTTTTATTTCATAGTAGGAGAGACAAAGCGGAGAGTCCTTCCTGCCTTTCCTGTTTGGATGAAGACTTGGTGCCTGCAGGAGCCTTCTTGAGTCCAAGAAGAAGATGTCAAGAGAATCTGAGAGGCAGCAGCCCAGAGCCCAGGACCGAGTTGTGCAAAGACCCAGGAACCCAAGGGTTTCCCAGGCGTTCCCCAGACAGTCACTGTCTTTGTGGGGCCTCCCCCATCTCTCCGGCTGAGTTGCAATTTAATGGAAGGAGACAGCTTGGGAACAGAAGTCAGCTCAACTTAAATATGGCCGTTCACCTCAGGATGTGTCCTAGGACGCTTACGCCTGAGAGCAGGTTGTTCTCAAAACCGAGGCATTGGGATGATGGTCACCAGCATGATTTCTGTCTTTTCTAGTTCTCCATCCATCCATCCATCCAACCATTCAGAAAATCAGTCAGTGAACAAACATTTATTGATTTTTCCTTTTTTTTTTTTTTTTGAGTCAGCGTTTCACTCTATTGCCTAGGCTAGAGTGCAGTGGCATGCTCACGGCCACCACAGCCTCAACCTGCCTGGCTCAGACGATCCTTTCACCTCAGCCTTCCAAGTTGCTGGAACTGCAGGCGCATGCCACCACACCCAGCTAATTTTTTGATTCATTGTAGAGTCAAGGTCTGGTCAAGTTACCCAGGCTGGTCTCAAACCTCTGGGCTCAGGCAGTCCTCTCGCCTCAGTCTCCCAGAGTACTGGCATAACAGGTGTGAGCCACTGCGCCCAGCTGTGCAAACATGTATTAAGGGCCCTGCCAGTCCCGGTTTCTTCTCCATGCTCTGTACTAGGGACACAAGTTCCTGCCCTCCTAGGTGACAGATATGAAGCCAGTAACCCATCAGAAAGTAAGGACAGTGGAGATCAGTGCTGCCAAGGTGCCCTAAGAGCTAGTAACTACAAGATAGGGGAGGGAACGGCAGCAGTGATTGGAGACAGTTTTTCAAGGGAGGGACAGATAAACTGAGTTACCATCTAGTTTAGTCCACTTTAAGGTTATTCAGAAAACTTCAGTTGAGAAATGAGAATCTGGTGACTCATGTCTGTATTCCCAGCACTTTGGGAGGCTGGGGTGGGAGGATCGCTTGAGACCAGGAGTTGGAGACCAGCCTGGGCAACACGACACCCATCTCTCAGAAAGAAGAAAGAGAGAGAGAGAGAGAGAGAGAGAGAGAGAGAGAGAGAAAGCAAGCAGGAGAAATGATGGAACTTGGCGATTAACCAGTGTGAAAGAGAGAGTGGCTGGTGTCAAGGATGACCCCTCCCCAGACCCGGATAGATGGACGCACATCCTTTTTTATTTTTTATTTTTGAGTCATAGTCTCACTTTGTCGCCCAGGATGAAGGGCAGTGGCACACACGCCTCCCCGCATCCTCGACCTGCTGGGCTCAGGCGGTCCTTCTGCCTCAGCCTTCCAAGTAGCTGGAACTACAGGCATGTGCCACCATGCCCGGCTACTTTTTCTTGATTTATTGTAGAGATGAAGTCTTGCCAAGTTGCCCAGGCTGGTCTCAAACTCATGGGCTCAGGCAGTCCTCTCACCTTGGCCTCCCAAAGTGCTGGGATTATAGACATGAGCCATCGCGCCTGGCCATCACATCCTGGATGTGGTCAACTGCACAGATGAACCCCATTCCCAACAAGTTCTCAGGTGACATTTCCGCTCCTTCCACAAGGGGGGAAGTGCATTTCCCCGCCCCTTGAGTTTGGGCAGGCCTGTGACTTGCTTTGGCCAACAGAATAGGACAGAAGTGACAGGCTCAGCCTCAGAGTCCAGGCCTCCAGGGACCTTGTCCAAATCCACCCACTTCCTTGGAACTTGAAGCTCTGCTCAGCATCCGGAGAGCAAGCCCTGGCCAACTTGCTGGATGAGGAGAGACATGAGACTCAGTGCCCGACATCAGCCATTACAGTCAAGAGTGAGGCCCCTCCCCCTGGACCCTGGGAGCTCTCTGCAGATGACCAGAGAGCTCAGTCAAGATCAGCAGTGCCAGGCCTAGAGCAGGAGCACACCCCGCCACCCCCAGGACCTCCAGACTCGCGAGCAGCTCTAAGTAGCTGCTGTTCTAAGCCCTGATGTGTGGCTTGTCATGCAGCAAAAGCTAGCTGACACAACCAGGACAGAGAAAGGAGAGAATAAGG